CGACCCCGTCCCAGTTTTACATAGATTGAATACTCAGAACAATGAAAGGTTGCAATTAGGCAATTAATGTCATCGGATTCCATTTCGCGGCTTGAATCTAGAAAATTCTTCTTATATAGATCTATTTTTAATTAACCTATTTTAAAACATCATTCTGAATAATCTTATATTGTTTCGTAGAAAATATGCAATCAATAGTTAGAGAGATAAAGAATATAAGATGTGATTTATAAATATTGTTTATTTGTTTATAAATTCCAACTCATTGCTATGTATAAATATTTGTTTAGTATTAAAATAATTATTATTAAATCCAAAGTAAGAATTTTAAAACTGAAATCAACATCATCATCTCTCTGCCCATTTCCCAATCACTTAGGTTCGGCGCAGTACATCTTCCGTACTGGTGATGGATTTGGCAAAAGTTTTACGACCGGCCAGACATCAACCCTACTTGGAAATAATTTTTAAGCTGAAATATAATAATCACAGATGAGATGAAAAAATAGTTTATAAATACAATCAACAAACAGATAACCTTACAATGAAAATATAATTTAATATTATTAATAAAATATAAATATAGTCTGTTTACTGACGTACGGAGAGAGATAAAAAATGAAATCATGTAATTATAATTTTAATTTCATATTCGATAAAGTCTCCAAAAGGTGGAACTTTATTACTAAAACTAGGCCTTGCCGTTTGTTCTACTTTTTTTAACGTTCAGAAATGCATTTACGCAAACCACCTGCGTACAAACAGGTAGTTACGAGTGACTCACCGGCTACAAAAGCCAGTATTACCCACTGAAACCCAACGAAACCTCTAGTGCCTTAATGGGACGCCGCAGGATCGCTTATAGACTCTAACACGACGTCCCGACAGCAGGCCTGCCGAAGCAGCCCACCGCAACCATGGGTATGTTCCCATAATCTACTTTGCTATCAGAGAAGTACCAGGAGTAACCCACATGGTACACCGCCCACCGAAGTGGGCCGCTTCACGCCCAACTGTATTGCCGGATGCTAATGAGTCCACCTACCACGACAAGGTGAACAGGAACACACTTCCGGGGTTTTACTATTAATTACAGTAGCACTATTTTTATATTCACATATTATTTTTTAGTAAATATATACAACAAAATTATACCATTTTATTTATTAATAAGTATATATTTTTCAACATGATTACCACTAGCCTTACGGTGAAGGAAAACATCGTGAGGAAACCTGCATGTCTGAGAGAACCTAGCAGGTTTTCGAAAGACATGTGAAGTCTGCCAACCCGCACTTGGCCAGCGTGGTGGACTATGGCCTGATCCCCCTCATATTGAAGGGAGGCCGTGCTCAGCAGTGGCACGTAAAGAAGGGCTGAGTACAATATGGAGGTTACGATCACGGTAATGTTATGCATAACATTACCGTTGTACGATATTCAAGCGCAAGTTTTCTCCTTCATTCATAGTAATTTGAAAGGACAGTACTTTTTTCTTTTTTTTTCATTTAATTTATTTGCTAAAATTAGCTTAAACACTTTTCTTCGCATGCGTAGCTATTCATATTCTGCTCTAAATGGGATTGAGATTTATATATCGTCACAACTTATTTTTTTTTACGTCGTTTCTTTTGTTATTTATGTTAAGAAGTACATATAAATGGTAATATAATTCAGGAAACTTTCAGAGAGGTAAATTATTATATTAAAAGACTCAATTATTCCAGTGTTGCCAGTATTGATTTTGTTATTTCAAACCTTCCACTACTGATTTCTGCATAAATGACGATATAATATTATAGTAATAATAAATAAATAAAAAAGTCATTAACCTCATATTTTATTAGGTAATAGAAATTACTCGAAGTAATCTACACTATATAATTTTATAAAAAGGAAGACTTTGTTTAAGTCTATTTATTGAGGAAGGTTATTATTATTGCCTTTATTCGAGAACGGCTTGGATTTCATAGACATTTAACTTTTTATTATCTTACAACTAACTTATAAGTAAAATATATTGTTTTTCCAAAATTCTTCCGCTTTGAAATTCTCGTTTAAATATATGTCATATGATTAATAAAAGAATAACAGGGTCGATTTTATTTTAGACCAGCGACTAACCTTTGCTTTGCTCGTGGGGGTCCCTAGGTACATTTTTTTTTTAATCAGAACCCGAATTCTTTTTCTACAATAAAAGTAGCCTAAGCTACTCTTTATAACATCAGCTATCTGCCAGAGAAAGTCCCGTCAAAATCAGTCCAGCCGTTTCGGAGATTAGCCGGAACAAATAAAGAGACGGATAGACAGAAAAAAACGGACGACGGACAGACAGGCAGACACGCAAAAATTAAAAATTGAGTTTTTTTTTATTTAATTGAATTGAATTGGCGTTACAAACAGTCACTTCATTTTTATTTATCTGTATAGACTATAGATTATAAAACATTATGAGTATAGATATCGTAGAGCGCGCAATATAGATATAAGTTTTCCAAGCAAGTTTTTTGTTCAATAACATACTTTAAAAATATCGAGTTGTTTCATTTTAAAAGGTACTCTAGATCAATGGATTATGGATACAGCGGCGCTTATAAAGCATAGTCATAAGAAGTGGTTGGGATAAAATGAGAAATATCACAAGGAATATCGTGCAGGAAAGCAGTGAATATTTATACAGACATCATTTAAAAAGTTTATATATAACTGTTTCCTTGAACCTGCAAATTGAACCACAGATAATAAACTGAACGTTACTAATAAAGTTGAGATCGCACTAACAATTAACAATGTATAAACCTGACAATGTTATAAATAAATATAATATGCATTTAGATTAATCAGTTTTTAAACTATCAAAATAAATATTAACTATATTTTTTAAAGCAATTATGAATTTTTTGCTCTTTAAACAAGTAATATGCTATTTACTTTTTGCGCAGTTTGTGTAAGAAAATCTTTAGATTTCCGGCTAACTAAAAAATATATCTAGAATGACAATCTAACAATTTCATTTCCATGCATGCTTTAGTTGTCTATTGATGGCGATTGTAAAACGTTATCTTGTCTAAGCCCCCAGGTATACGAATTTAAAGATCTTATTATGGTCGACTAAATTTATTATTATTCTAAGGAGCTTTTGGGTGTACTTTAGAAAGCTATTTGACATGATTTTAAAATAAATTACTGCCCATTCAATAAAAGATTGAAAATTATAAAGAGTGTTATCTATACTCAAACTTTCTAAGTAAATAAAATAAATTATATCAGAACTAGCATTTACCGCGGCTCCGCCCGCGTTCAGATGACCGAAAATCAAATTCTTAGGTTTTACATATTAGTGTAAGTACTCTTACAATGCTGTTTTTGTATTTTTTCTCAGAAATGAGTCATTTTCCCGCGGTAAAAAGTATTCTATATGTTGACCCGGATATCCAGCTATCACCATACCCTCCAGTGGTTTTTCTGTGATGCGGTAACACAGGCAGACAGACAAAATTTTTAAAAACTATAGATTCGGCCTCTGTATCGATAATAATATCTATTTCAATAAGATTTTCCAAAAAATATTTAATATACAAATTCGGCTTAGTTACAATTTTATTATATGTATAGAAAATAAAATAATAACGGTGTCAATTTAATGTATAATTTATAATTGTCTTCAGATAATCTGTGCCTTTGTTTATGCCAAAAAGAAAAAGTGCAAAATAATGACCGTTTCGTTGCGTGTTATTCTTAAAATAAAATTCTATGTGCTCTACATTGTGCTCCATACTACGCGGTCACATGAACAACATACTACGAATAAATATTAAATAAACTTATTATTTATTCGTAGCCAACCTACAATCTATATAGAAATAAACCATTTAAAATCCAACAAAAAACATCATCATAATGTAAACAAAAATTAAAATAATAAATTAATATGTAAATATAATAATAAGTTAATGCAGCCTGCAGGTAAAGACCCATGTACAAGTAGGAACAAAACGATATTTGTTACAATGTGTATTTATTTATACCTACTTCGATTTACGTTTTAATAATATTTATCAAGTTCTCTATACATATAAGTTATAACTTTTATGCCCACAATATTAATCTTGATAATAATTTATAATCCAACAAGAACTGTTGGTAGGAATATTTTTCAATTCTGTATTAAAATTAAACTCAAAATATAAATACTTTTTAAATTACCGTATGTAAATTAATAAGTAAATTTTGTAGTTTATTCTGATTTTGAAGTAAAAACATGTTCAAATATCACTTATTAAAATACGGATATAATTTAATAAGAAAAACAAGTACCTACCTATTTGTTGAAATTTAATTTGCCTTGGCATACTTTGGTATTAAGCAGTTTCGCTTTATTAAAATCTTTATTTATCTTTATTATTTTAAATATAACTTTTTTGATTAAAATAACCACCAATGTCAACCTAAACTTGGAGCGAGCAAAATAATTGTTCATATTGTTTGCTACTTGGTTACATAAAACAAGCAGAAATAAGGTTATAAAAGTTAATTACTACCGTCAGTGAATAAAAACTAATTTATCAATATATTGTTGGCTCGTGACTTTTGTATATATACTAAATAATTATATTTATTCAAAAGATAACAAACTACTGAATTTTTTGTATGTAAAAATGCGGCAAAGCGCTTTTCATTTTTCCACTATTCAGGAATATAACCCGATCGTGTCAAATAGCACTGTGTATGTTTACGGTAGATAAAATTTCTCCGCCTTCTCAATTCGGTCGGATTAACAATGGCCCGCTCGAAGTGGCCTACGTGACTCGCGGCCCCATCGGCATGGTGTCGTGGCGCCAAACGAATTACTGCCTTATCGACATTTTTAACTATACTTTATCGGACTTAATCCAAATCACGCAATATATTTCACCTACGATTCAATATAACGTTGCGTAACTTCTCGAAAACGCACGTGTTAAAAAGTTAATACATCAGCTGATTTTTGCGATACTCACCCCATGAATAAACTAGATTGACGGAGATAGCGAGGATCGCTAGCAAACACTTGGTTTTGCACATTTTGTCTCATAAAATTTGGATAATTTAATATTAAATGCACATCGGATCGGATATTAGGTCGAGTTTCAGTCAATGTGAGACAGAGGGCACACAACCACACCGCACGGACCGCGCGTTAGACCGAAACTAAAATTCACGAATGGCCGTTTTGCCGCGAAGAGAAACACAAAATAGGTTCATTGAAGCCACTTCGCGCATGCTCGTGGGGCGCGACGCGAATTCGTATCTTATCACTGGATTTAAAAGATTCCGAAATTGCGCGGCTCTCATCTTTGTTTGCAATTATTGTAATCAAAAGATACTCATGTACATATCATGTATGTCGATTTATCTTACCTATTATTATAAATGTAAAAGTTTAGATGTTTGGATGTTCGTTATTCAATCACGCCAGAACGGCTAAACGGATCTGGATGAAATTCAGCACAGAGATAGATTATAGTCTGGAAGAACACGTATGTTACTTTTTATCCCGGAAAATGTACGGTTCCCGTGAGATAGATTTGTGTTTGTTTTTCTAAAGGCGAACCCGAGTGATGCGAGGGTGAGCCGCTACCCTAGTATATACCAATGTACTCTGTGGCCACTACTCGCTAGTGTATGTACTTAAAAAATATTACATAATACATTTATATGGGACAGACTATAAATAGGTATTTAAATTTTTATTGAATAAAAAAAATACTAAATATTAAGTATATAGTTAAAATACATAATACTAATAAAACCTATAAAATATCAAGTTAATAATTGAAGTTTATATAAATGCATATTTTATCAATTAAAATAAGTGAAATAATATTTTATTTTGTTTAACTTTGATCTTAAAATTTTGTTTTATTTTACAGTAAATTTAGATGTAGAATTTTCTAATAAACATTTTTCTTAACTGTGAATAAGCATAATATGCACTTACGTATAAAGTATTTTTAAATACACATAATTGAATGTTAGAAGTTAGCATAGAGTATATTGCTACATAATAATGTAAAGCAGTTAGGTACGTATTGCTTGTACGCGTTGACGTCTTTATTAGGTTTTCATGACCTTTACCACAGATCACAATCATACTGTAGTCCTTTACATTGTAATAATTATAAATATTATGATTACACTTGAAACTGTTTGCTTTTTATAAAAATACATACATTCTTTTTTCAAGAAACAATAAATTAGCAAAAAAACCATGTAGGCATATTCTATCTATAGTTCTATACATTAAATAAAGGTGTAACTGATAGCTGTCTGTACAGGAAAAATATTTGAGAACAACTATTTTATTGGGGTCTTTATTAACGCAATAGAACCCAAAATATTACTTTTAACTAGAACTTTTGAGGGAGCAAAGTTCTATAAGTAATATTTTACCGAAAGAAATAAAAAAATCTAAAACTTTCTATAGCTTTAAGTCTAGGTTATATAAATATATTCTTTGTAACTTATGTTCCCAGTTCTACTGATCAACTGTCATAATTTATTATATCTTTTTATACGTTTCTCATGTAAAAGAATTGTTCGTAATGAGAAATAAAGTTCTTGAAACCGAAATAATGATTTTTAGAAGTTTTGTAAATGATGATTGTCTGCCTGTGAGTTTGTAGCGCTAATCTAAGGCTTAACCGATTTGGTTGCGGTTTTCACTTATGTAATGTATTGGTAAGCTTCACTTAACATTTAGTAGTTTTATTTCAATCGGCTCATAAATAAAAAAAATATGTCAATTTAAAGACGAACCCGAGCGAAGCGAGAATGACTCGTATATTTAGTACATAAAAACTTTTTAACAAAAAAATAAAAACCGACTTCAAACAAAAGCACTAAAAAGTAAAAAATAACTGATTGGTAGTTTTCATTTACTATACTTACCTAATCAAATATATTCGAAGTCGGTGTGCTTTGCTTTATATGGGCTGGCACCGATTTCGAAAATATTTGATTAAGTATGTATTTAATAGGTAGGCTTTAATTACTTAGCCAAAGCACACCGACTTCGAATATATTTGATTAGGTATGTATAGTAAACGAAAACTACCAATCAGTCATTTTTTACTTTATAGTGCTTTTGTTTGAAGTCGGTTTTTATTTTTTAGTTAAAAAGTTTTTATTTTTCCCTTTTTAGTGTAGACAGTAGTAGCGAAGTAAGGATTCTAACGTGTTAGACTTGTCAAATCAAACAAAATAAGCCCAAACTCAAAGTATCTACTATTAGTCGTTGAAGAGTTCCACCTATCCACCTTCTGGCCTTGCCATCAGATCAGGTCAACAACACCGAACCACTGTACTATCAACGGAAATAGAAATACTTGCAAAGTTTCAAGTCAATATGACAATTAGAAGTAGGTTAAATTCATCATTAGCTATTTTTCCACCCTTAGGGGTGGTATTTTTTTTTGGAATTTAAATGGGACCAATCTGGAAGTATACACTTTCAAACAACACAAAAATTGTTCAAATCGGTTAATAAATGACGGAGTTCTGAGTTAACAAACATAAAAAAAAACATACAGTCGAATTGAGAACCTCCTCCTTTTTGAAGTCGGTTGAAAATATGTATGGAAATTAGGTACTTGGCTTTAGAGTATCTATGAGTGGTGTATATAGAGTATAGACTGTAGACTGTAGAGTTTTTATTATTTTCATTATTACTTCTGGCATTTTAAACTTTGTTTATTTATTTCTAGAAAAAAATAATAACTTGACTTAAGTCAAGGTGTTAAGGTGTTAAGATAAGGTGCCAACTTGAATTTACCATTAAATAAATTAAATAAATAAATATAGTAGCTTCTTTTACAGGTAGGTTGATAATATTTTAATTTTGAAGATAAAACAAAAACATATCTCCAAGGTTTAAGTTACTTCTTGGTCAGATTTTATCGGGTTTTATTTTTGCATATATATGTAGAGTGTAGACCACTGCTAAATTTACATATCAATCATTTTTATAATATGTTATTATGTACAATGTAAATAGATTAAAACTTAGTAGGACAGACTATTTAATGTAGGCCATTGTCAGGAAGTTGTAAAATGAAAAAAAAAATAAAAAATAATTACTATGTTTTAATATCCGGTCCGTAAAGATTGAAGAAGTTATGAAACAGTAATGCAAAAAATATATTCCTTTATAATTAATAACCTTCAGATTATTTTGTTTTATTGCTTGTTACAGTTAGCAGTTTTTACATAACAAAAGTGTGCTGAATATGTTTTGTAATGAATTTCAGCAAATACAAGATTAATACGCCATCATTCGAATCTATACATACAATAAAATTCTAACTAAGTCGATTCTGTACATTATATATTTTTTGGAAAATCTTATTGGAAAAGACTATTGATAAAAATAAATATACACTATAAATCTTATTGATTATTATCGATAGAGAGGCCGAATCTATAGTTTTTAGAATCTTTGTCTGTCTGTTACGGCATCACGGAAAAATCACTGGAGGGATTTTAATGAAATTTGTTATGATGATAGCTGGTTATCCGTGTCAACATATAGGATACTTTATACTGCGGGAAAATATCTTTAAAAAAATAACCTTAAAAAAATGCTTTTGACCAGCTATCATTTATTCGACAAAACGAGTCAAATGAGTCTAAACTCAATAATATAGGTATATTTCAATAGGACTAACTGAATAGGTTCAGCTTATCATTCTACATAATCTTACACAAATGGGAGGTCATGTCTACTGTACACTGCAGGTGTTGTGGAATTAGAAAGTGATATATATCACAGGCACTAGTAAGATTTAAAAATAATAATAAGATTATAACTTAAAAGAATCTACTATTTACTTTATTTTTAAAAGGGGGTAAATGAGCTATATAGGTACTGCCGGAATGAGTGTTTGCACTTGCACCCCTTTGTCATAAAGTAAAATGTATAGAAAAAGTTAAAGAAATAAAATTATATTAAACTAAAAACCCTATTTGATGAACCTAGAAATTAAAGTCCAAGGACATATTAATTACTTACAAAAAGAGATAAATTCATAAGCATAAAGTATATTGCGACTTACGCGTATATTAATTAAAGAAATAGATGATGCCTGTTTTTAAACTAATTACACTATAATGATGAATATTTTTTAATTAATTTTTAAGTTACAAATTAAGTATAAGTTGTATATATTAAATAATTTGTAATAACAGAATAGCACACATAAATCATAACGTTACAAAACTGGTATAAAATACGCCGTAGGTGTAATTTTTTTATATATATTGACAGCAGGATATGAAGCGTAAAGTCCATTTGATATATTTTATATTCACAACTGTTAACAACATTAATGTTGCTAGCACATTGTTAATTGAAGCCGGAAATCCGGTATCCCGACTTCCTGTAAATTTATTTCCTTGAAAGAGAATGTGTATAGGTAGGTACTACAATACACCATTTTTTAAGTGTTTTTGACGATTAAGAGAATAATTTAAAATTTATTGTACAAGCGATTTGCACTCTCCTTTTTGCTTAGTAAAGTTTTAATACACAGTGATAGTTGGTTAAAATATCCGTCAACTAGGTAGTAACTAGGTACTGTATTTACCAGGAGAAAGGAGCTTATAAATTAAACTAAAAATCAATTTATCCCGTTGCTCATTGCTCAAACACAATTTTCGTTTTTTTAATGAATATACAATTGAAATTAAATTCGATCCGTAAATGTTTATACTTATGCATATTTAAAGATATATGATTATAATATGTAATACAATACCTAATACTTTCTTAGATTTACGCAGATTTGAAATTTTAAATAAAATTATCTTTTCAGATTTTTTCGCGGATTTATTTTGATTTTTGGTTCCCGGTTTAGTTCACGGGAGAGGCTGACCTCTCTTCCGTGACCATGATTGCTGTAAAGGATTCGAAACGTCAGAAACCAAAAATCAAAATTAAATCCGCAAAAAATCCGAATAGATAGTTTTATTTAAAATTAAAAATACCTGTAATATTTATCGACTTTTATTATCAATGCAAAACTTTG